ATGTCGATAGAAACAAACTATTATCGTGAAATAATATTGACAATGCCCAGCCGCCTTCATGATTCATCGGTTAAATCTCCCTGCGCAAGCACCTCGGGTTTAAAATAAGGATTGCAATAGATTATCAGGATAAACGTGTGAACAGCTTGGAGATTAGTGTGCGGGTTCTGTATGAAATTGACGTTCACGCTGTTCGTACCTGTTTCACATTTCCCGTCTGTCCTGGATTTTCATTCCCACGTAACATATTTAAAAGAATTATTATCTCAATCTCCGATGTGGAAAGTTATGCTACTGATCATTCTTACCTTTACAGCTCATAAAAAAACAGGTCTTCTTGAGCCTTCTTCGTCTACATTTTTCCAAAGGAAAGCGACTCGATCTACATCGCCAAATAACCTAACGATTTTTAAGGAGTGATCTGATTTCAAAACATTTTAAAATACGTTACACATATAGTGAAAAACAAATTTGTAAAATATTTTTATTAAACAAATTATTCGCCTGTCTACGGCTGCCAGGTTGCGGTTGGAGAAGAGAAAAGGTTCTGGGCCCCGTTCCACAAAGCGATCGTAGCGCTAACGTGATCGTAACTCCCATACTTTAACATAGACTTACGACAGTCGTAGCGCTACGATCGCTTTGAGGAACTGTGCCCAGCATCGTTAGTGAATGAGTATGATAATTAGCAATATTCCAGCAATATCGACTGTGGACACCAGAAATGGGCTCCATGTGAGAAATCAACCTTTGACGTCACCAGCGAACACTTTAACCACAAGGTGACAGACATTCTGTACGCTTGTGCATACTGGACACTAGGGCTTGGACGGGTAACCCTAATATCCGGGAACCGGGTACCCGTCTAAATACCCGGACCCGTGGTGATCATCTGACTAATAGATAAAACAATGTAATATGTTCTTTCATGATTAAAATGCTGTATTGTCTTTGAAGATTTGGACATATTATTATTCCAGTTATATAGCGCCAGTCTGTAAATAATTGAGTCTAGACCAGACAATCCAGTGATCAACAGCATGAACATCAATCTACTCAATCGGGGTACAATGACGTGCGTCAACCAAGTCAGCGAGCCTGACAACCCGATCCTGTTAGTCGCCTCTTACGACATGCATGGGTTACTGAAGATCAATTCCAACCCAGATCTTCACAGGTACCGAAAAGCTACTTCAAAGACCATCTTTATCTGTTTCAAAAGAATCCCACGAACATATATGAATATGATGAGACTTTTATTCTGTACATATGGCCCGCTGGCTACTGGCACACGTTATGTGATGAGAGAAGCAGGTCCTAAAGAACCCGGCAAGAGGAGGCTAATGATAGCAGAACACCTGTTAAAAAGCACCTGCTGTGTTGCCTCTTCCCTTAAAAGTCTTTAGGATGCATTGACCAAACTTTTCATAGTTAATGATCTTTAACAATTTCACAAACTAGCTTGGGTAGATAAAATTGGAAAAATAAATAAAAACACCAAATGTTTTTGCTAAATATTTTATCTGATTCAGCAATTAATTTGCTTGGCTTAGTGAAGAAAAAAGTAGATTTTGTTCACTGCACAGGATACTTTTACTTCTCTCAGAGCAGGCATAGCCTAAGTCAGAGATATATAAAGTAAGAGACAGTATATATATACGAGTTGGCAAATACGATATATGTACATTGCTTTCGACTCTTGTTGAAAACAATAAAATGTTTGCTATTTGCAGTATGCTATTATTTTTTAATGGAAAGATGGGTGGTTAAAAAAAATATAATTATACCATTTCAGTTTGTTTTCTTATTGTGACTTTTGACTTTATTGATCAAATCCATTAACAAAAGAATGTACAAACTGCTGCCACTATGGCCTAAGTATAAGCTCCGTGCCAGTGATTGCTATTGACATCTGTTTCCATGGAGATAAATGGATCAACATGTTATTTTCAGATTTGCATATGTTCTTTAGATTAATTGCGGATAATCAACACCCACAAATCCAAAAAATAATAACACATGATTGTCAATAGGAAAACGCCCTGAAAACCGACTTTTAATTGTCCATGGCATTCTCTTCCCATTAGAACAACCATTTCAATTTCAGTGGCAAGGAAGGCACCATGTTACCTGTAAGAACCTATCACAAGGTATAAGCTGGGAGACAGCTACGATCTGTTTCATCTTAGCAGCTAACTGCGCCCAAAACTCAAACATCATCCTATGATGACAGGAGTTTTGCAGAGGCAGGTCCAGTCCTCTGGAATGAACTTCCAGATCAATACAACAAATCATTGAGTTCAGACTTTCCAACATGAAGAGAAGACTCTGCTGTTCCCAAACACCTATGACCTGCACCTTTAAGCACCATTTGGATTTTGGGCATCACATAAATCCGAACTTTATTAGGGACCGTTCATATACTGGCCACATAAAGAAACTGTGCACACAGAAAACATAAAGATAGGCAGACAGCGTCTTTATGCATTAATAAAGGTGTGAACATAGCAAGTATTGGAGACAATCAAACGCTCATGCAGGTGCCAGGCGACATGACGTCATTGATGGTGGCCTATGGACTTGCAATGTGTTATTGCACGTGCAGCCTGTGCAGCTGCACACAACATGTGAAATTGATGGCACTGTCGAAAGCTTGATCTTTGGTCATTCAAACGTGCACATCATGCCAAGATTAACATGTGCTCAACGTCATGAAGCCATTGGAATGGTTCGAGCAGGCATGAGCCAACAACAGGTGGCAGCACATTTCCAATGCCATCGTAACACGATATCTGCGTCCCCGAGTAGCAACGCCAAGACAGGACAGATGGATTCGGGTGACTCATATCAGACACAGGTTCCAGACGGCAGTGACCACGTCCCAAACCATTCCCCAGGCCTTCATTTGGAAAATTTGGTAGCCTCTATCGTCGTCGATGCACTACTGTGCTTCCGCGGCATGATGGTCATACCGTTATTGACTTTTGACATGTTGTTGAGGCCCAATACTTCAGCTTATAAAGTGTCTACATCATGTCGTCTTTTCTGTGTTGTATTCCAATTCTGAAGGAATTTTCTGTGTGCAGTTTCTTTATGTGGCTAGTATACTTTATGGCTAGGGGGGATGATGATTTTTATAGAGAAGCATGTACAATGTGAATGACCCCCCTAAAATTTATGTACAAAATAAGTGACTCCCCTGCATGTCATGTACAAAATCAATGACCTCCCTCCCCTTCCCATAATCTCTAAGCATAATTTTAAACATATTTTTATACACAAAATTGCTGAGCCCACGCCCAGTACATGTGTACAAAATTGATATCCCCCCCCCACACACACACACATAAAATGGTTCCTCCTCCTCCCCCCCAAAAAAAACAACAACAAAAAAACACACACCAAAAAACAAAAAAACTCATCATATCATCACACACCCCTAGCCATAAATTGTGAACGGTCCCTTATACTTATTATTAATGTTTTATTTCAGGCAATATATATAATGTTTATATTTTTAGTAAAGCTTCAAAACATACAAATCAAGTTTTCTAAAATGTGTGAAATTTCTGTGTTCTTAGGGACAGAAAAACCTCAAGACAAATTATATTCTTTATTTTGACATTCGTTTTTTTCTTCTAAAATCTAGTCTTACATCCCCCCAATAATATAATATCAACTAGTTAGTCCTCAGTTTTCTCTAAAAGCTAAGAGACAGACATGACATCCCCCTGGAATACAATGACATCATGAGGCAGCAAATGATTCACTGACAACTAAACCCACTTGATTGCACTATTGAGATAACCAGAAACTATAGGAAAGCTTCTTCTGTTAAAAACCATACGAGTCATGGCATCTTGTAATGGACCAACCATATGATAATCACAGGATTTTGCGTCATGTCTTGATATCTTTTTACGCTACATTTGCAAAACCACATTTTTTTTGTAACTGAAACTATGAACCTAAATATTTCTTTTAACAGATTTAAAGAACCAACACTATTTTTTTAGGCTGAAAATTCTTATTTTTTCAGTCATGACTGAAGTATAATTATATTTTTCAAACATTTACTCACAAAATGCAATTTCTTATTTATAAAATCCGAGACATCCCAACAATATGAAATGGTTGATCATACCCAGTAAAAATAATATTCATGACACCACGCTCAGCCAGTAATACAGTGAAGCCCCGTTAGTCCGGACTCCGATAATCCGGATGTCTCGCCTCCCGGGCGATTTCAGCTTGTTACCAATCTATGCCTATATAATTTGCTTCGATAATCCGGAAATTCGGTTTCCGGAACCGGACGGTAAGTAGCTGTCACCAATCAGTAAAATAAACAGTAAATTGCTTCACAGTCCGGACAGTGTAAGTCGTGTTCACGAACCGTAACAACACCTCCCGGCGATGTTTACTTTATTAACTGGCCAACTGGGTTGTTGTTTTAATTAGACAGTAAAAGCTCCCGACTGAAGATGCTGTACATTTACACTTTGATTGACACCACAATACAAAGGCGTGGATGACAAGTGAGCTGTTTTGTGATTGGTTAATGTACTTTGACAGACAGATGCGGTCACGTGGACTTAAAGTGATTTTGCTTTACGACAATGCTGCAAGTCACAAGTGTGCTTCGCTAACTTTGCAAATGTGACCAAATACCACGTCTCATATTCAACCGATGGATGCAGGAATAATTCGGACTTTCAAGGCATACTACAATAGATCGCTTGTTAGACATTACCTCACCTGTGCTGAGGAAGGACGTGATCAGACACGTCGGATCAACATGCGGATGTCACTCGGTAAAATTATTGATGTGATGAATTAAGCTTTACATTAAATGCTTATTTGTTTTATCCCGATTCGTGTCGTTTTTGTAATAGTTAGGGAAGCAACTTGGGTCTTGATTCAGTAGTCCGGACTATTCACAATCCGGACGAATTTACTGAGAAACACAACCGTCCGGATTAACGAGGCTTCACTGTATATCAAATTTTGGACTAAAAACAAATATAACATGTATCAAGAATATATGCACACTGCAGTAAAAAATACAGACTATTTCCCCCCTTCGTATAACATTAAACAACATTTCCAACCAATCAGACCGAGGCACACTCCAACTGTTTAAAAAATATATGATTTATAACCATGACAACAAAATATAGCTACAAGGACAACTAGGAAGTTCGTCAGGCAACTATCACAAAATACACAGATCTCCCGGAGTACACATCCAGAATGTGCATTCTCCTCCACAAGATAACACTAATTTTCCAGTCTAATAGGTTCCATGTTAGGGTCATCTTCCGGCCCTTTCATATTAGCACTTGCCTGTTGAATCTTGTCTTTGTGTTCAAACACAAGCTTAGCTAATTGTCCCCTGGTGGCTAAACCAACAGCTCTTCTTGACAAGCAGCGCGCGTGCATACAGTTTCTCCGGAGCACTTGGATAGCACTCTAATGGTTTATACCGATGCTTAAGGTCCGGTTCTATTGCCCTAAAAACATGTATAAGCTGATATTTTACAAACATGTCAAACAATCCTTCATTTCTTACTTCAGTTGATGTCAGTAATTTCCTTGCCGCGATAAAATCCGCATTATAGAAACTACTGTGCTCATAAGACTCAGCATCATAATGCCCCGTCTTTCCGTTAATGTCGATGACGGTCGGGTAGGGTTTACGATCAAAAATGAGATTCGGTTTATACTGCCAGAACCCGATTGGAAAAAACACTTGCCATCCTTGAATAGTATTCATGCGGATTCTATTAAAGTAATCGGCTGCTAGTTCCATACCCACAGTACACATCAGGAGCAGAGAATCGGGTGGAAACTTCAGCGAGACTTCATCCAGGATGAAGAACTCTGAGTAATACGAACTATTATGTTGAAGCGATATCCATGCAATTTTATCGCTGCTTTGATATTTTTTTTCATAATAGGAAATCATTGATTTCAGAACTGAGAAAGTGTCTTCCTGAAAACCTTGTTTGTAAATGAACACGATCAGGAGGTATGTATTGTCGCCTGAGTCTAAACATGTATGAGCATATGAGTCGAGGAAATTTCCAACCCCGTCTTTATCTTCCTCCGTAACTGGCAAAATGAGATTGATGCGAGTGTTTTCAGTCACATATGGCATTGGCACTATTTCAACTTGACCGAGGGGTCGTACAAGGTGCACTCTTTTCTCCACTTCTTTATTGGCAGCGCTGATATCCCGCAACGCTATGTCCATTGTGTATTCCATTCCTCTCTGGGGGTCAAATCGGCGATAACCATTGGCCAGGTGGGAGTACAGGAAGCGGTTGTTGTACTTCACATTTAACTTGTCGACGGAGAGCCTGATGACTTCTTGAATATCTTGCTTGTCTACACCTACAACAATAGGAATAATAATCTTGAACAATCAACAGTGTAAATGGGCACCACCTACATGCTATGAGCAAGTGTGTGAGTTCAGTTTTAAGCCACTTTTAGCAATATTACAGCAATATCATGGTGAGGAAAACCAGAAATGGGCTTCACACATTGTACCCATGTGAGGATTCGAACCCGGGTCTTCAGCGTGACGAGCAAACGCTTTAACCACTAGGCTACCCCACCGCCCGTCCATGCTATGAGGAATTGTGAATTGACTGATAATTCACCAGAAGCTAGCAAGTATACACCTGAACCTCATTATTAAGCTCTCAAGAAGACAAAAAGGCACTGGGGAATCCAACAGGGTGTACACTGTGCTAGAAAAATAACATAGTGACATCACCCTACAGGAATACCTTAGCAGCTATAAATATTATCTGGATGCTTCTCTAAAGTCAGCGAGTATGGTTTTACCACACTTTTAATATACCAGCAATGGGCTTCACACATTGTACCCATGTGGAGAACCGAACAGAGGTATTCGTAGTGATAAGTGAACGTTTTAACCACTAGGCTATTCCACTCCCTCTCCTCTCAGACTGGTGAAGAGGTGGGAATATTTTTGCATTGAAATGACGTCAGTCTCAATCTCGGAACTTCCATTTCAATTTTATAAGCACTGTAAGTGCTAAACTGTGGAACTCTCTTCCGAAGGAAATCAGGAACACTTCATCAAAAGAAACTTTTAAATCTCTGCTCAAGACCCATCTATTCACTGCTGCCTTTCTGTAAAGTTACATGAACTATTTCCTTCCCCAATATTGTCACAGCGCCACTGAGCATCTCTATGGTGGATATCAGGTGCTGTATAAATACATTATTATTATTAAGTGTACAAAATGTTGACATATTTTAGAAGACTATCAAATCAGCTACAAATGATCAATCTGGTGAGAAAAAAGTTTATGAAATTTTAAAACAAAGGCATGGCAGAGTCAAGTATCTAAAGCAACTGCTCATCCTGCCAAATACATTTTGAAAACAAACAAAATGACAGCCTATGATATAACCTCTCTCTTGATAACCTTTCCCACTCCAGTATACCTTTTAACTCCTCCACATTTGAGAAATCATCATCAAAGTAGATATGAGTTTCCGTGAAGTAGTCCCAGCGGATGACATCGAATCTGTTTTTGGGTCGATATGGCTCAGGGACACCAACTGGCCACGTGATGCTGTCTCTGCCCCCAGGGGCAAACTGGCTCATGTAGATGATATTTTCTGTTGTCTTGGCAATGGCTTGCTCCGTCAGATTCAGTTCCAGGATACAGAAGTATCTGTAAAGAACAAATAGTGACACAGATGAGTGAGCGAGCCCAGTGAGCTTGGAGATTCCTGGACCTGAGGAAATCTCAACTTTTTTAGGCCTTTCTGCAGACAGGGATTGGTGGAAGGGAAAATAGAATGGTTCAGGGTCTGTGAGGGAGACTATCAAGTCCCAGCTATGTAACCTATTCTGAATTACAGATGCTGGCTAAATGACCTATTCTTATCCACAACCTACACAGTGTGCAAAATAACTACTGGCCCGCTAGCCCAATGGCTAGTAAAATTCCAATCGGGCCAGTGGCTTGTGAATTTTCATGGGGTAAATATCTCACTCTCTCTGTTTTAATACACTTTTAAATCATGCAAAATTATGGCCTGACAAAAATGTTCATCATAATTATTAGCAGCTTGATGATGAAACCCGTGTCTACATTCAAATTTCAGGCTAGTAAATTATTTTGTGGGCTAATAACTTTCAGGCATAGCTAGCCTGACTGGCTCGCAAAATTTGGAAACTGTTTTGCACACTGAACTTACAGAATTACTGATCTCTGCTGAATGACCAGTTGACTGGTTTGTTGTTTAATGCTGCACACAGCAATATTCAAGCAGGGAACAGTACAAGTGTTCCTTGATTCTTTTCCAGGTTTCTTCACAAGGTATGTATTACACAGTGAGTGAAATTCTGGAAATGAATAAAGGAACGTGTACTTTCATGTGTTCCCTTATTCGTTTCCATAAGCATATATGATGGCGGTCTTTAAATACTCAAGGTCGGACCAGACAATCCAGTGGTCAACAGCATGAACATCCATGTACACAATAGGGATACGATGACATGTGTCAACCAAGTCAGCGAACCTGACCACCCCATCCCGTTAGTCGTCTCTGAGTAAAAGCATATGTTACTTAGACCAATTCTAACCCGGATATTCACGGGTCTTAGAGACAATTCTAACCCGGATATTCACGGTCTTAGAGACCAATCCTAACCCGGATATTCACGGTCTTAGAGACCAATTCTAACCCGGATATTCACGGTCTTAGAGACCAATCCTAACCCGGATATTCACGGTCTTAGAGACCAATTCTTACCCAGATATTCACGGTCTTAGAGACCAAGTCTAACCCGGATATTCACGGTCTGAGAGACCAATTCTTACCCGGATTTTCACGGTCGTAGAGACCAATTCTAACCCGGATATTCACGGATCTTAGAGACCAATTCTAACCCGGATATTCACGGTCTTAGAGGCCAATTCTAACCCGGATATTCACGGTCTTAGAGACCAATTCTACCCGGATATTCACGGTCTTAGAGACCAATTCTAACCCGGATATTCACGGGTTTTAGAGACAAATTCTGATCCACAACCTACAGAATTATAGATCTCTGATAAACCTATTCTGACCTTTAATCCCAGGGGGAACTTGTGTTGGGTTTAACACCAGTTATAAACAGCATTTCAATGTCATTGTGGAATGTCAATACCAAAGTGATGCTTGTCTTAGATACTGACCATCTGTTTGACTACCTAAAGATCATAAGGATCATGTAATCAGGATTTGAAATTTACAACGCCAGGTCCAAATGTAAGACCAAGGCTAGTAAAATTCAGCGAATATGTGAAAAAGTGTCCTTGAGAACTATCACGTTTATCATTTCGGTGATGGCAACTTTGCAGCCGATCATTTTCGTGGACTAGTGAAAATAATGTCAATTCTTAACCCTCATAATTATATAGTAAAAGACCATAATAAACTGAAAGCAATTATTATTTACCGATGAAGTTTGTAATAGTTAGTGTCATCAGGCATCGGGTAAACTGCAATCGAGTTGTTAAAGGTCTCCTTGTCTTTAAGAGTCTGTATATCATCATCAAAGTCGAAGTCGTGCACTTGTGTGTGTCCATACGGATGAAACTGAAATAGAATCATTCGAAAATTACAAATATTGTCAAAATCAGTGGATGGACACAATGGTCCTAAAGTCAGAGTGATTTAACCAGTCATACCACAAGGCAGTCGCACACCAAGATTAAAATATGCCCATCTGGGCCCTGTTGCACAAAGCTATCTTAGCACAAAGGTGATCTTAACTCAGGGGTGGAAATAACTTTAAAATTGCTAGTGTACTCCGGTACAGTGGCACATGTGAAATCACTTGCCCTGAAATTTTTATCACTATACCGTCCGTTTTCTTGTTGAATTTTTTAAATAAACAACATAATTAACATTGGAAAGTCAACTGGACGCCGGTACAGTGTGATATACGAATTTACTTGCCCGACAGAAAAAAACACTGGACTCGGACGTCGGGCAATGGGTTATTTCCACCCCTGTAACTCCATACTTTAACATAGGCTTCTGATAGTAGTCATACAACTACATCCTGATCATTAAAATCAGACATTACAATCTCATGTGACAAATCTTCCTCTGATTTTTGCCAGACGTAATTGATTAATTGTTGTATTACAGTATAACGCAATATTCCAACTATATGATGGTGGTCTGTATGTAAATAATCGAATCTGGACAAGACAATCCAGTGATCAACAGCATGAGCATCGATCTACGCAATTGGGATATGGTGACATGTGTCAACCAAGCCAGCGAGCCTGACTACCCAATCCTGTGAGTCGCCTCTTACGAAGAGCATGGGTTACTGAAGACCAATTCTAACCTGGATCTTCACAGGTTTGCAACAATTTGACAATAAGTGTTGAGTTGAAAATATCTACCAGAGCTCCAGATAAGATTTAGCTCATGTGGGTACGTACCCACTGTATTTTTTTGGAGTGGGTATTATGAATGTTGAGTGGGTATTTCATTTTCCGCTACCCACTGCTTTCAAACATGTGCATATTTCAGTCATTTTACACACCTAAGTATTATGTGACTGAGTAAGTTTACTAAGCAGGTATGTTCTGCCTTATGACTATGTCATACCTAATCAAAACCAACTTAAATATAATGGAAATGAGTTCATAAAAAAATCCCTCATCCTAAATGGACAGTACAGCACTTGTCCTATACTAACTGTACAACTTGATAGCAATCGATGTCTTTTTCATTACGCAAGCGATTTTTATAAATATATTCCGTACGCATTTGTTTTAAACTTTTTGCGTATCTAACATTTTAAATGCGTAATTGGTACGCAACAATTATTTTTCAATGCGTAATTGGAAATTTTATATGCCTATTTTACCCGGATACACAGCTTATCTGGGCCTCTGATCTACACACGAGAAGCACTCCAAGCAGCCTGGTTAATGCATGTTCATGCATCTCAATGAAGAACATAAACATGATAAACAGGCCTTTCTAAATGGGAACGAGTTTGACTCATATGGGTCTTAGTAAGGATAATGCTAGAGCACAGATAAATAAAGAACATGTTTTATCATGAGCTGGTGTAGCAACAAGATTTGTTGATATTCTATTTCCAATGACTGATGATGATGAAGTTTGAGGTCCGGTTTATGTACCAGACATGCCACTTTGATACTGATTTTAAGGGTCAAGTTAGGACCCCAGCTTATCTATAAGGGCAACATATCTAACATAATATATGGTAACTAAATTCTTATTGGCTCAAGAACCCATGCAGTAGGACTAGGAGGTTGAACAATATTCAGGGTTTTCCGGACTTGATCTGCTATGTAAGGTTGACAGGTTTACATGCAGACAGACATGAAATCAAGTTGAACATCTGATTTCAACAGTATTTTTAAAAATACAAAACTACAACTAAAAATCGCAAATTCAGGTTTCATGACCTTTAATCATTTTGTTAAAAAGGTAAGATTTAACATTATTATTAGACATGCTTAAATACACAAAGAAGTATGGACTTTTCAATTTGCCTGCGAGATGTTCAGCTGACAAAACAAAATATACCCTTAGGCAAGGTAGATACCACAATACATGCCATAAACTCCTCGCCACCTGTTCCCAGAGCTAACAGCTGCTCCAGCATGTTTAAGCAGTCAGAAATTAAATACAACCCATACACCTTGGTACAACACATACAACAATGATAGGGGCAAGATGTAACAATATTAAGATTACTTTATGAAGAATTGATGAGCTACCCATTTATACAAATATCGCTATTGTAAAATATGGAAATCAAATTATGTAGAGGATGAATTTCATTTTCTTTATAAATGTCCAGTATATAAAGAATTACGTGTTACAGGGTTCGAAATACCCCATATATTAGTGTGCCATGGCATGGTAAATACTGAAATGGCACGGTTAAAAATGTTCTCGGCGTCCTTATGGCATGCCTAATTTTTTGGAAACATAACTCACCTTTAATCATTTAATCCCCCAAACAATAATTTTTTTCCAAATTGAATAATGCCATATACATATCTAAATGCCCATAAACCCATTTCTTTATTTAACAATTAATTCAAAATGATCATCATCATTGTCATTTATTCTAAAAACAAGTGGGCACACTTGATTTCTGAAAGGCACGCTTAAAATATTTGGTGCCCTAAAGCACCCTCACAATTGTTTTTATTTCTATCCTTGTGTAAATTACTTTGAAAATATACCTATAATGAAGATGTCATGATCTATAATCTTCAAAATGATAATCTAACTCATTTACTGTCCTTCTCAAATTATGTTAAAGATGCCTTGATTTTGGGAAAGTCATTTGTTTGACTGGTAGCAATACATAAATGTAATTCATGTTAACTTTGTACATGGGCCAAAGGCTTTTCTACTGAAAAAAAGATTCATTCATTAATGTTTGGGGTAACCTAGTGGTTATAGCGTTCGTTCATCACGCCGAGAGCCCAGGTTCAATTTCCCACATGGGTACAATGTGTGAAGCCTATTTCTGGTGTCCCCCACTGTGATATTGCTGGAATATTGTTAAAATTGGCATAAAACCTAACTAACTCACTACACACATGGTAAAGGGCAAATAAGGACAACAGCAGACTTACATTGATATGACCTTGACAAGACCGGCCTGTGGCATGTTGAAGACACTTGCCCATGTTGATGGTAGGGTCTGAAGAATGGCAGTTAGTAGTGCACCATTCCATCTCAGACAGTACTTGAGACAGAATTGACTGAAATCAAAACAGGATTGAAAAATGTTAGGGTGATGTTGTCAGTGTTTTACGAGGGGCAGAAATGTGTGTCAAATAGGCAGAAACATAAAGAATGGAGGAGGAAAAGAATGTATATCAAGATATATTGTGTCCCAGGAGATGCACAATAAATAATATTCATTGTACAAAAGTCTTTACCAGAAATATGACGTTCCTGTCATTAAAGTACTCATGAAATCTTACATTTCTGTACACTACACCATATCACGACTAACAGGGCCCTGTTTGTTTCCTGTAAGATCAGTTGAAATTAGTAACTGAATGAATGGATGGATGGATGTTTTAGGACAGAATCAGCAATAATTCAGCTGTATATCAGAGTAGCCTGAGATTAATCAAATTATGGAAAAACAAACTAAGGGGCTACGAAAGAATCCTTACACTAAAGTTACAGTGGACAAATTGAGTCACATTATACAGTACCAGAATCCTTACAGTGGACAAATTGAGTCACATTATACAGTACCAGAACCTTACAGTGGACAAATTGAGTCACATTAGACAGTACCAGAATCCTTACAGTGGACAAACTGAGTCAAATTATGTAGTACCAGAATCCTTACAGTGGACAAATTGAGTCACATTAGACAGTACCAGAATACTTACAGTGGACAAACTGAGTCACATTAGACAGTACCAGGATCCTTACAGTGGACAAACTGAGTCACATTATACAGTACCAGAATACTTACAGTGGACAAATTGAGTCACATTATATAGTACCAGAATACTTACAGTGGACAAATTGAGTCACATTATACAGTACCAGAATACTTACAGTGGACAAACTGAGTCACATTAGACAGTACCAGAATCCTTACAGTGGACAAATTGAGTCACATTAGACAGTACCAGAATCCTTACAGTGGACAAATTGAGTCACATTATACAGTACCAGAATCCTTACAGTGGACAAATTGAGTCACATTAGACAGTACCAGAATCCTTACAGTGGACAAATTGAGTCACATTAGACAGTACCAGAATCCTTACAGTGGACAAATTGAGTCACATTAGACAGTACCAGAATCCTTACAGTGGACAAATTGAGTCACATTATATAGTACCAGAATCCTTACAGTGGACAAATTGAGTCACATTATATAGTACCAGAATCCTTACAGTGGACAAATTGAGTCACATTATATAGTACCAGAATCCTTACAGTGGACAAATTGAGTCACATTATACAGTACCAGAATCCTTACAGTGGACAAACTGAGTCACATTATATAGTACCAGGATCCTTACAGTGGACAAACTGAGTCACATTATATAGTACCAGGATCCTTACAGTGGACAAACTGAGTCACATTAGACAGTACCAGGATCCTTACAGTGGACAAACTGAGTCACATTATACAGGCATGGGATACTGGGACCTATACAGTACCGGAATCCTTACAGTGGACAAGAGTTCCTCCCGTTCCCCCCTCCCAAAAACTATTTATAAATTAATATATATAATATATACTTAAATTATTACAACAATTACTAGAGAACTCACAAAAATTACTAAAAGTCCAAAATTTAAGTTAGGGTTAGGTTTAGAGTTGGGGGAATGGAGGAACTCTTTCCCCAGAATCCTTACTGTGGACAAATTGAGTCACATTATACAGGCATGGGATACTGGGACATATACAGTACCAGAATCTTTAAAGTGGACTCAGACAAAGAAAGTTGCAATACAAACCTGAGAAATGATGATCCCACCATCCAGGGGAGCAGTACACAGCTGTCCCTTCAGCAGCTTTTGGACATCCCAGGTACATGTGATGGCTCACACTCACACCACTCACAAAATCAAACAGTGTTTCCCCGCGGATGTAAGTTCGATCAGACACAAACATATAATAGTCAAACTTGTCTGGGTAATGTTCAGCGATGTACTTGAGAATGTGTATTGGGATGAGGTGTGGACGCTTGTCTGCAAAACTCACCACAGACATCCCTGAAGGCAGAGTCTCACCCTTATCATCCATAAAGAAAACCAGTTTGGTCACATGATGTTGAACTGTCTTGTTGAAAGCGACACCTAGCGTGTCGATAGTATTCCTCGACGTTATCACAGCTACAAACAGCTTATCAAGTATTCCTAATTCTGTTGATGCATACCGAGGTCGGATGAGTTTTTTAGTCGACCCGCCAACATTACCGAGTCCAGTATTTCCCCCTGGTTTTTCTTGTAGTCGCAATCGGGGTTCAAACTTCCCTTCCACATCTTGTTGAACCTCTAAGGATTTTGTTTCACGTCTTTTCACAAGTTCTTGTGGGTCTTGCTTGGAGACGTATGTCTCACAGCTATCTTCACTGAAGGGAGCATACATCATACTCATAGTAATCCCAAGACACAGCCCTATGACGAGCGGCAGCAAGGGTCGTAAACACTTCATATCAATCTTGATACTGATGCTTAGTCTACGTGGAGTCCTCATATCGTCAATAGTCCATTCTGTAACACAATTAAACCTGTGATGTTTTAACCAGGTCTTCATAGTTTTCTTTCCCATTCAATACCACTCAGCAATTTTTCAGCTAAATGGTGGACAGCAAGTGATCAAATCCAGACAATCCAAATGTCAATATTATGAGCATTAGTGGGCATGGAAAAATACCAGAAATACTTGAACTCATTAAAACACTGTTTTGCATTGAATGCAGTGTCATAAGATACCTCTGACATAGATATTATGGACTTTCAGTATATCCAAACTTCAGACAAAATTGTACTTCTTTACTAATTCTGAATTTGCCTGTCACGGTTGGCTAAAACAAAACTACCCGATGGCACTATTGGAGTCCCCGCTACAGCTTTAATAACATCTGTCTGCAGTTTCTAGGGCATGTTGACAAACTTTATTATATTTTATACTGTGGCAGACAAGTTTTGAACTTCCTCCCGATCCAAGGTAGACTCGCTACAGATATGAAACATTTAGTTTTGGTTCTAAATGTAAACATACAATTTTTAAAACTTCGTATATGTACTTATTTTAATACGCACAACCACTTCCTTGACACATGACAGCTACTACTTATGTCTACCGTCCCGTTTGTGAAATTTGTTGACAGAGAACATAGTAGGAAGTTTGAGCAAATAAGCCCAAATATTCATCTGACAATATTATTTACACTCAATATTACCTCCTTAATAACAGTATGAATTTCATCGACCACACGAAGAAAGTTTCCATGAGACATCCACGCCCCAAACACTCTTCTCAACACAGACCGCAGTTCGCCATTTTGGGTACAACGTGTTATAAAAAGAACGCAAGCTCCACACAGAGTAATCCCACTCCACCACCGTGCGTGCACTCTGCTACCGACTGACAAAGTGCTCTAGACTGGTTCCCGTATCCTCCGCTTGGTGTCGCTACACTTACCAGAAAAGTCGCTCTAACGATCGGGAACCAGTCTATTATGTACTACTATATGTACCGTCGTCAGGTGGCCTTCGTAACTTCAGACAAACCTAAAGTGTTGAAAATGAGCATTCAAAATTGGCTACAACGAAAATGTCGCCATTCTTTACACATTGCGAAATCGCAATTCACAGCGTTATTTGCTGTATGTTTTGAAATGTAAATATCGGGTAATGACAGCGTTCGAAATACAAGCTAAGATACATAGCGTTCACTGACATGTTCATGTATCGTAGCTATCGAAATACCTGCCTGCCCGACCGCCTGGGACGGATTATTTTCAACACGGACTGCCAGATTTTCAAATTCACCTCCCCGACGGTCGGGTTAAAATTTAGACATGTACATGAAGATTTTTTGTGGGCAGGTAAGTTTTGGTCTGGGTTGGCAAGTTTTACATCTAACCAGCCCTGTGGTGTGGCTGAATGTTTTGGCAGTTGCATACCTTGGTAGATCTAATGAATACTCGGTGTATTGAATTTCAAAAAATAGCATATTACTGATATCAGTTTTTCATCAAATCAGAGACCATATAATATATATTATATGGTCTCTGATCAAATCAATGATAATTGTGAATCGGTTGGGATGTTTTCGAAAATACACGACCACCGAAGTGAGGTATCCGTCATATTGGATAGTGTTTACAAACAAAATTATGTTCATCCTTTGAGCTACTGTTTGTTTGAACACTATGACAAACATTTAACGTAGAACACCATATTTTTAACCTTTACGCGACCGCCTCCGTGGTGTAGTGGTAAGAGGGTCGGCCCGGAGAGCGGAAGGTCGCGGGTTCGATCCCCGACCGCGTCATGCCACAAGACGTTGAAATATATGGTATTTGTTGGTCCATGCCTGGCGCTCGGCATTAATGGGTACAACAAGGACTGGTCGGATCGGAGTCAGTATAATGTGTCTGAGTGGGGTATTCATGCTTCACTGTGGCATGGTATCTCAGTGGGCTAGCACTATAAAACCAGCTTCAGTCTGGGCTAGTACAAGCAGCCGCACATACACATACACACGCATGCACGTCGTCATATGAGCGAAATATTCTCAAGCACGACGTTAAACCCAATTTCACCTCACCTTTAACCTTTACACGGGTTGGCATAACTGGAACATGTACGTAGGTCCTGTATGTGTTTATTCAATGTTGTAATTTCATATAAACAGGTTCGTGAATAGCGATTTCATTTAAACTTATAAGTAAAGCTAAATATTTTACAATAGGAAAGTGATTACATTGTATTAATAACAAAAATTATTAAATGTATGCGCACACATATCTATGACGAATTTCTTGGTTATGGGATCATACTTGTATATCGTTTTATGGACTGTAAAATTATGTCTATTGATTAGCCAGGTGCGCGTTTTTCACAAACGTTCAACGTTTTGCTTTATTGTTTTCGTCATATAATCGATATATATTTACAAAAATAATAAAGTATGATGAAAAATTATTAACCTGTTTAATTGTACAAGAATTGTACAAAATATATTACCATGTCATGTCTTCCTTTGGTCAAACGGGGAGGTAGGGTAGCCTAGCGGTTAAAGGTTTCGCTCGTCACACCGAAGGCCCGGGTTCGATTCCCCACATGGGTACATAGTGTGAAGCCCATTTCTCGCCATAATATTGTTGCTGGAATATTGCTAAAAGCGGCGTAAAACCATAATCACTCACTCACTTTGGTCAAACCGTACAGTGGTATCCTGATTGGTTCATACAAAAGAAGCAATGTTTCATTGTATGATTGTGAAGAGAAATATTCACATAATTAGGGAATCGTAGAAAGGACATCGAATTAACAAGTCGAGGCCACGAGATAATAAGGTGTTGTAATGAGATAATAAGATGTGGCCATGAGATACCAAGTCGAGGCTATGAGATATTAAGTCGAGGCCACGAGATAATAAGGAGTGGTAATGAGATAATAAGATGTGGCCATGAGATATTAAGTCAAGGCCACGAGATAATAAGGTGTGGTAATGAGATAATAAGATGTGGCCATGAGATATCAAGTCGAGGCCATGAGATATTAAGTCGAGACCACGAGATAATATGGTGTGGTAATGAGATAATAAGATGTGGCCATGAGATATTAAGTCAAGGCCACGAGATAAAGAGGTATGGTAATGAGATAATAAGATGTGGCCATGAGATATCAAGTCGAGGCCATGAGATATTAAGTCGAGGCCACAAGATAGTAAGTCGAGGCCACGAGATGATAAGTCTTAGGCACCAGATAAAAAAGGCGTGGCCACGGCATAATTTGAGTTGTTAATAATAAGAAATGTACGGAACCGTAGAAGGGATATCGGATGAGAAAATAAATATTAATAATAAGCCGTGGCCACGAAATATTGGAAGACCGAGAACAACCGTCTGGAACACTTATCCAAGGCATATTCTATTTCCAATGACTGATGATGATGAAGTTTGGGGAGTCCAGTTTGTACCAGACATGCCACTTTGATACTGATTTTAGGGTGTTAGCTTATCTATAAAGACCTTATATCTAACATAATATGGTAACTAAATTCTTATTGGCTCAGAACCCATGCAGTAGGACTAGGAGGTTGAACAATATTCAGGGTTTTCAGGACTTGATCTGCTATATGTAAGGTTGACAGAGTTTACATGCAGACGAATATCAGGAAATCAGTTAGACATCTGATTTCAACAGTATTTTTTAAAATACAAAACTACAACTAAAATCGCATAGGAATTCTTGAGTTTCACTTGACTTTTAATCATTTTTGTGCATTTAAAAAGGTAAAGATTTAACATTATTATTAGCGTCACCGAAGTATGGACTTTCAATTTGCCTGCGAGATGTTCAGCTGACAAAACAAGAAAATATATCCTTAGGCAAGGTAGATACCACAATACATGTAAACTCCTGCATGCATTTCCTACAGAGCTAGCAGCTGCTCCAGCATGTTTAAGCAGTCAGAAATTAAATACAACCCATACACTTCTAAGTGACCTTGGTACAACACATACAACAATGATAGGGGCAGGGTAGCTGTTACTTTATGAAGAATTGATGAGCTGCATTTATGCAAATGTAAGCTATTGTAAAATATGGAAATCAAATTATGTAGAGGATGTAGATTTCATTTTCTTTATAAATGTCCAGTATATAAAATTAAGTGTTACACGGTTGAAATACCCCATATATTAGTGTGCATGGCATGGTAAATACTGAAATGTACGGTTAAAAAATGTTCTCGCGTCCTTATGGCATGCCTAATTTTTGGAAACATAACTCACCTTTAATCATTTTAATCCCCAAACAATAATTTTTTCCAAAATTGAATAATGCCATATATACATATCTAAATGCCGCAAACCCACTTTTCTTTATTTAACAATTAATTCAAAATGATCATCATCATTGTCATTTATTCTAAAAACAAGTGGAGCTGCTTGATTTCTGAAAGGCAACAAAATATTTGGTGCCCTAAAAGCACTCACAATTTTTTGATTTCTATCCTTGTTAAATGCTGAAAATATACCTATAATGAGATGACATGATCTATAATCTTCCAAGGAAATGATAATCTAACTCTTTACTGTCCTTCTCAAATTATGTTAAAAGATGCTGTGATTTGGGAAAGTCATTTTACATTGTTTGACTGGTAGCAATACATAAATGTAATTCGCTCGTAACTTTGTACATGGGCCAAAGGCTTTTCTATGAAAAAAGATTCCATTCATTAATGTTTGGGGTAACCTAGTGGTTATAAGCGTTAGTTCTAAATATGAGAGCTGGTTCAATTTCCATGGGTACAATGTGTGAAGCCTATTTCTGGTGTCCCCACTGTGATATTATGCTGGAATATTATTCAAAATTGGCATAAAACCCTATGCTAACTCACTACACACATGGTAAGGGAGGCAAAATAAGGACAACCATGTGAGCTTTGCATTGATATGACCTTGACAAGACCGGCCAGTGGCATGTTGAAGACACTTGCCCATGTTGATGGTAGGGTCTGAAGAATGGCAGTTAGTAGTGCATTCATCTCAGACAGTACTTGAGACAGAATTGACTGAAATCAAAACAGACGAGTTGAAAAATGTGGGGTGATGTTGTCAGTGTTTCACAGGGGGCAGAAATGTGTGTGTCAAATAGGCAGAAACATAAAGAAGAATGGAGGAGGAAAGAATGTATATCAAGATATATATTGTGTCTCAGGAGATGCACAATAAATAATATTCATTGTACAAAAGTCTTTACCAGAAATATGGCGTTCCTGTCATTGAAAGTACTCATGAAATCTTACATTTCTGTACACTACACCATATCACGACTAACAGGGCCCGTTTGTTTCCTGTAAGATCAGTTGAAATTAGTAACTGAATGAATGGATGGATGGATGTTTTAGGACAGAATCAGCAATAATTCAGCTGTATATCAGAGTAGCCTACCAAAGTTAATCAAATTATGGAAAAACAAGAGCTAAGGGAGACTCTGAGAAAGAATCCTTACACTAAAGTTACAGTGGACAAATTGAGAGTCACATTATACGAGTACCAGAATCCTTACAGTGGACAAATTGAGTAAAATTAGACAGTACCAGAATACTTACAGTGGACAAACTGAGTCACATTAAGAGCAGTACCAGGATCCTTACAGTGGACAAACTGAGTCACATTATACAGTACCAGAATACTTACAGTGGACAAATTGAGTCACATTATATAGTACCAAGAATACTTACAGTGGACAAATTGAGTCACATTATACAGTACCAGAATACTTACAGTGGACAAACTGAGTCCACATTAGACAGTACCAGAATCCTTACAGTGGACAAATTGAGTCACATTAGACAGTACCAGAATCCTTACAGTGGACAAATTGAGTCACATTATACAGTACCAGAATCCTTA